AGACGGGGATCAATACGAACGGGGGTCAGCCAGGGCACCAGATCCTGCAGGATCCTGCGAAGACCCCCCCTCTGGCTGACCCGGGTTAGCGAGCCGCTCGTAGCCGCGAGGCGGCCGCGCCTATTGGCTGACCCGGGTTTGCGAAGACCTGCGCTGCAGTTTTTTTTCCTGCATTGCAGTTTTTGGTTTCCTGCTGACCCGGGTCTGGATTGACCCGGGTCAGAAGATCCCCGAAGGTTGCATGGTGGATTTTGTTCCGCATGTTCGGGTGCTTCGGCGCGGCTCGGCCCGCCACAGTTTTCTGGGTGGGTTTCCTCGCGCGTGGGGCGTGCTGTTACTGCTGGGGCTGGGCGTCGGCGGCCTCTGCGCCGCGTCGCACGGTCCGTCCTCCTCCCTGCTGCTCTCCACGCTTCGCTATTCGTCGCTCCTCCGCTGGCCCGGCCCGCCTCCTCCTCCTCCTCCTCCTCCTCCTCCTCCTCCTCAGAAGGGGTGACCTCGCGCGCCCGTGGGATGAATCTGCATCGCCGGCCGCGCAGCTCGCGCCCGAAGATTGGTGCCCCTCTTGGACTTCTGGCCTCGGTGGGCAGATTTGCGTGCGATCAGCCTCTGCATTGCAGGTCGAGCTTCGCCTCTCGCGCCACATCGATAGGGCGGTCGTGCGCGCGCGCGCTGCTGAAGACTTCCTCTCTTATCATGCGCTTCGTGCCCCTTGAGCGACATGGGCTGCTGCTCCCGCGGGGGGCAAATGCGTTCGCCCTCCGACTTGGCGGCGGCGCGCCCCGATCACGTGTGCTTCCCAAGCTGGGCCCCAGCCGTGGCCGCGGTGGGGGCAGTTGCGCGCGTGTTTCTTGACCGTGCCGTACAAGGCGTTCCTTTGCAAGCACATCGTCTTCGGCACCGCCTGATTCCGGGGCTTTGCACCCTCCTGGCCTTGACGTGAGGCCCCTCCTTCTGCCTTCCCCCCCTGTCAATTCAAGCTGCGCGCGGCCCGCTTAGCTTCGACCGGAAGAGGTGCGCTCTCGACCCGCGGATCAAAAAAAGTGTTTCTTGACCCTTCTAATCCGCCACTGAAGGTCTCGCGCCCAATTGGGCCCGCTGCACGGCTCCACAGGCGGCGTTCGCAGGCGGCCGCCTGCGGTGCCATGGCGCGCCCGGCGAGTCTCGCACCTTGCAGGCTTCCCCCCCCGCTGCGCGGGTTCGCCCGTGGCTCACGGATCTGATCCGCGCTTCCGGGCCTTCCCCTGGCCTTTTTTGGGCCATCTCGGAGCCATCTTGAGGCTTCGGGAGTCCATCCGAAGCGAAAATGCGATGAGGCAAACAACGTTGAAACGACACGTGAGTGAAGGACTTTGGCTCCTCGAGGGCTCGCGTGGGAGGGTCCTTGGTTCTTTCGAGTCGTCTTGGAGCGGTCTCGGGGCCTAGTGGAAGCATGTCAGAGGTCATCTTGAACCATCTTGCACTACCGTGTGCTATCTTTAAGACGTTTTGGGTTATACGAAGTCGTCTCGGGGCCATCCTGGGCCAACAACGACTCTCTCACACCTCGCGCCCCCTCCCTCCAGACCCACGGGAAGGGGGTGCGAGGCTGGGATGAAACTTGCTCCGAAATGGAAGGAGTGGGTGGAAGAACGAGCTCGCTAAACCACTCACGCCTTAGATGGCTGGTGGGATTCACGGGGGATGGTGACCTCGGGAGCGCGAGTGCGTCGTGCTCCGTGGGGGACCGCGGCCTCGAGAGCGCGGGCCTGCTGTCTTTTTGCGTGCCCCGGGGCCCCCCAGAGATGAAGGCGACGTGATTCCGAGGTTGCCAATCAAAGGTTTCCTGCGCTACGAGGAGGAGGAGGAGGAGGAGGAGGAGGAGGAGGAGGAGGAGGAGGAGGAG